CTATGGGGGATGAATTACTATGGGGGATGAATTACTATATGGGGATGAATTACTATGGGGGATGAATTACTATATGGGGGGATGAATTACTATATGGGGGATGAATTACTATATGGGGGATGAATTACTATGGGGGATGAATTACTATATGGGGGATTAATTACTATGGGGGATGAATTACTATGGGGGATGAATTACTATATGGGGGATGAATTACTATGGGGGATGAATTACTATATGGGGGATTAATTAATTACTATGGGGGATGAATTACTATGGGGAATGAATTACTATATGGGGGATGAATTACTATAGGGGGGATGAAATTACTATATGGGGAATGAATTACTATATGGGGGATGAATTACTATAGGGGGGATGAATTACTATATGGGGGATGAATTACTATATGGGGGATGAATTACTATATGGGGGATGAATTACTATGGGGGATGAATTACTATATGGGGGATGAATTACTATGGGGGATGAATTACTATATGGGGGATGAATTACTATATGGGGGATGAATTACTATATGGGGGATGAATTACTATGGGGAATGAATTACTATATGGGGGATGAATTACTATATGGGGGATTAATTACTATGCTTACTATGGGGGAATATTACTATACTTACTATGGATGACACATACACATCATTCATCTACTCTTGGTCCGGCCCCCGGGTCCAATATATGAACCCATTGCGGCCCTCAAGTCAAAAAGTTGCCCACCCCTGGTCTAAACAAAGGATGACTACACAAAGGCGTGCGTTGTAACAGCATGCAGAAAATAAACGATGTATATACACACGCACATCCACACACGAGCACGTGTGCATGTGCACACACACAACCCCATATAAGCATGCATGTACATGCATTGGCACATGCAGGCATAGTGCTCAGTACAGAACAAAATGTACAATGGGATGGAGGAAGAGGAAAAGGAATTTAACCCTTTGAGGACCAAGGGATGTATTTGTCCCATGATTTTAATTGCCTGTATCATCTGATTAAGAACTTAAAATACTTTTTTTTTTTTGGTTTGAGTCAAAATATTAGTTCTTATCAACAATGGATCTAGCTTTTTGCCAATTATTTCATGAAATGGCTTAGTTACAGCAACTGAAGTGTACGAACTTTAAAAACAAAAAATTTATTCTTTTGGCGTTCCGTAATCTTATGGTTCTCAAAGGGTTAAAGGAAGGGGTGAGGGGGAAAAATATGTTGGCACATATATAGGAGCTGATGGTGCTATAGGATGGTATGGATTTCAAGGTCCTCATTAAGACCCCCAGGCGATAGTACGTCTAAGATGTAAATCCAATAGGTCTCCCTATGGCATAAGCGTTGGAATCTCTCAGCTCTCGGGAGGTCAGTGGGCATGACTTCAATTACCCAGACTCTTAGACCCTTAGTGGCTTTACCATGTTGTTCTGAGAAGTGTCGGGGAACACTGTGCTTATCAATGCCGTCTTTGCGGTGTTCGCCAAACCGTTTACGCAGGGTACGGATGGTTCTCCTACATAAAGATCACAAGGACAAACCAGACAATATACCACAAACTCAGAAGAACATGTGTAAAAGGCAGGAATCTTTTATATTGTACCTTTGATATTGAAGTCTTTTTGGCCATGGTGTACAAATGGGAAGTTTAAACAAAGTGGTTTATTGCATCGGTACAAGCCTGTGATGGGGAAGAAGCTGAGGGGGGGGAGGGGGGGGGCAATGTCTGACTTGATTGGTTTTAATTTGCTAAGTGCTAAATTGCTTTTAATGTTACGAGCTTTTTGGTAAGAAAAAAAAACTTAGGTTTGGTGGGTATACTGTCAAGCAGGTGTGGATCTTGTAATAGGATAGACCAGTATTTACGCACTATCCTTTCCATGTGTGTGTCGGTTATGGAACTGAGTGGTAAATATGATGGTGGAATTCTTATCCTTAGGGCGAGAATGGATGGTATTAGGTCCGGTGTTGTAGAGTGTATATGCTTCATCAGTGAGAGTGGGTGGGTAGCCTTTCTCAAGAAATTTTTCTTTAAGAGTAATGCTTTGTGTTAAGTAGTCTTGAAGTTTGGTACAGTTATGTCTTAATCTACAAAACTGGCTTTTAGGAATATTATTCAACAACCTGGGGTGGTGGCAGCTCTTGTAATGTAAGAGAATTACCTGCAGTTGGTTTTGTGCAAAGATAAAACTATCTTCATTGCACATAAGTAGGACTAAGAATGCTAAGGTGTTTTTATCGGTCACAGATGTGAAGGGAAAACCCATATTATTGTTGTTGCAGTGGGACACAAATTGTTGGACACTATCAACATCACCATCCCAGATGATGAGGATGTCGTCTATACACCTTCCATAGTATATGATGTGTGATGACTGTGGGTTATTGTTCCAAATGTATGACTCCCAGTAGCCCATGGTGAGGTTGGTGTATGAAGGGGCAAAGTTGGCTCCTATGGCAGTGCCTTAAATTTGAAGATAATAATCACCATCGAACTGGAAATAATTGTGTTTTAAGTAGAATAGAGGGGCATCTATTATGAACTGGGCTTGCTTGGGATTGATGGTGGGATCTTCAGACAGAAAAGATAGTAGTGTTCTAATACCAAAATCATGTGGTATTGAGGTGTAAAGAGAGTGTACGTCTAATGAGACGCAAATATAGGTTTTGTTCCCATGAGTACAGAGTGATTTGTTCTAACCGGTGTAAAATCAGACAGGCTGTGACACACACACACACCTTTTTCAAAATCTTACCAGCTGGTCGGTGTCCTTTCCACACAGTTTCAGGATTGTCTGCCCTACCCACACAATCATGAAATTAATAGGCTGCAGATAACACTAAGAAACAGGTCACTTGTCTGCAATTCCTCTTGTAATTATAACAATATTGTAATTTGGCCACATCTGTATAGTTTAAATATTACTATATGTTGGAACCCCACAAAATTTCAAGGTTAATTATTTAATGTATAAAGGACACACATTACAATTTCAAATATATTTTATTTAAGCATTCTAGAAAAAAAAGCTCTATACACAGAATAGAGGTATATATAACTTTACAAAGGAATGTTAAGCATAGACAACAGGAAGCTGTTCAACCCACACATAAACATGAGATAGATTACAGAGGCCAGTTCTCTGGAGCTCTAAGAAATAAAGATATTACCCAACACAAGAGTACAACTACTTCTATTATCTTAAGGGTGTAGAACAGTTTATTTAAAACTGAATTAGCAATGGAAATGTCAGAGTAAGAATGCTTTGTGGCAGTAAGAATATTGTAGACATTAAGGAGCAATTTTTCACAGAACACAGAAATAGGTGTGTATATATATATATATATATATATATATATATATATATATTTATTTCGTATTTCCAGCTAAGAAGCAATGCTGTGTGAGTTAAGATTGCTGAAAGCCAACTAAGAACTATGAATTCATTGTTCAAAGTCACTTTCTCAGGTCAAGAAGCTGACAAGTCACACTTTCATGCACTATTTTACCATTAAATTTTGTATTCTGTGAAAACTTTAATTTTTAAAAAATGATGCTAATAGATTAGGCTCTATTTATTTTGAGTCGTAGTCAAAAGGCTTTTATATCAGGCCAAGGACTGTAAAAACAGTAGAATGGGTTAAGAAAGTTAGCCTGAGAAATGCACATGTGTACCCAGTTGGAAAAAAAAAAGCAATAACACTACCACACATTCTAAATATGGTCACAAAGGAGTCAACAGGAGCATTTTTACAGCTACATTTATCAGATTTCTAAAATCAGCCTATCATTACAATCGCATGAATTACTGAAAATGTCTGCCTTAAAAGTGGCTGTAAATGTTCAAGGTTATTTTTACCTTCATGCATTCTATGCATAAAGGTAAAAAACCTTCTGTGTGCAGCAGCCCCTTAGCACCCCCTAATACTTACCTGAGCCCAAGCCTGATTCAGTGATGTGCACAAGAGCCTCGGCTCTCCGGGGACTCTCTCTCCTCATTGGCTGACAGCCACTGAGCCAATGAGGAGAGTCACAGCTCTGTGTGTGAATGGAGCAAACATGCTTAGGTGCCCCCATAGCAAACTCTGGGGGTGCTTGGCAAGAGGGAGGGGCCAGGAGCAACAGTAAGAGAGAAGAAGAGGAGGATCAGGGCTGCTCAATGTAAAACTATTGCACAAGTATGACTTGTTTTTTTTTTTTTTTTTTTTTTAATCGCCTTTATATCACTTTAAGTCCTTAGAAAAAGAGCCCTGATTAGCATCAGAAACTTTTTTTTTTTTGGTACCAACTAACACCTATAAAACAAAGGTAAAAAGTAATTGCTAATGATGAAAAGAACAGTTAGCATGAAGAATGCTGTAATGCATTACACGTGGACATATACAGTACACTATGAGTTGGCCCTTACTCCCGATCTTGTACCTCAATAATTTAACATTAATTAATTATTTTTTTCTTTACAACCAATTATCATACAGGTTTACAATTTGGACCGTCTTTTAAAAAAATGTAACATGCACTTGACAGGATTTTTAATAATACAAATAAATAATAGTTATTAGAGATAAAATAGTAACATTGTTCACCAACATAATTATCTTATTACAAAAGACTTCAGAATCAAGGTAAAAGGAGAGTGAAATGGAGTGAATAATGGAAACATAAATAAAAGTATCTACAAGCCTAAGTGTGAAACATGCTATAAACCCTTAAATATTGGTACAGACGGGATGTCAGAGTGTGTAACAGAGGAATGGACTGTGGACATTATGATAGTAAAATATTGAGTTGCTGTTGAGGAATGTGCTGTTGTGCCACATGCTGGTATGTGAGTACAGTTAAGATGTGGAAAATAAGTTATTGTGTCTATGATTACAGAACTCTTATGCTCTACTAAGAGGCAATGAGTGCTTGGCCCAATCTGAAGAGAGTAGAGGACAGAATAGCAGCTTTATGCTTTCCCCACCCATGAAGTCCCATCAACTTTAACGCACATTATTGTTCGGTTCTATGCGCTGAACCAATAAAGAAACAAGCTTCTCCAGGAATTTGGCACTGTCTTTTCCAGCCTGCAGCACTTCCTCATGGCTAGCAATTGCTTCACTGTTGTAATCCATAGTAGCCTTGTTTGTAATAAGAGACATGCCCAGGACCCTCAGACCACAGTGTCTGGCCACAATTACCTCTGGAGCAGTGCTCATTCCTGGAAAATGAAAAAGGCAAAAATAAATAAATATAAGTGAGAATTGTTTGATACACTACAAAAGCCTCAAGGTTTGCATAAGAATACATAACATAAAAATAACGGGATTTTTTTGTACTCACCATAAAATCCCTTTCTCTGGAGTTAAATGACGGACACAGCAGCTACTTCTTTGACATTAACGAAGCAGGGTTTATAGCCCCACCTACAGGAGTAGGACACTAGGCAGAAAAAAAGGGACTTGGCACCTCCAATGAGCAGTCCTATCTGGGTATAAAAACCCCTCTATGTTATAGGTCTCCAGTCCACCACAAGCAGTGTCAAAGGAGAGAGCTCCTTAGAGGGGTGGGTTCCGTGTCCGTAAAATTAACTCAGTGAAAGGGATCTTAATGGGAAGTACAAATAAATCAAGATTTCTCTTACGTTCATTGACAGACACAGTGGCTTCTTCTTTAACATTAAGGAAGCAACAAGCCAACACTCTGAACGACCCCAAAATGGGAGGCCTAGGAGCCCTAAAAACAGCCACCTGCAACACTTTGTGGTCAAAACTAGCATCGGAGGACCAGGTCACTGCCTTGCAAACCTGAGAAACAGACACCTGATGTTGGAACGCTCAGGAGGTGCTAACTGCCCTAGTGGAGTGCGGGAAGGGGGGCTCCTGCCCCTTAACAGCATACGCCTGAACAATCGTCTGCTGAATCCAACAAGAAATAGTGGCAGAAGTTGCCGCCAGGCCCTTCTTTGGACCATCTGTGGAGGACAACGAGAGAGTGGGACCTCCGAAAGGCAGCTGTTACAGACAGGTACACGTGAATTGAGCAGACCACATCCAGGGAATGCAGGGCCACCTCTAGGGTGTGTCAGTCGAGGACACAGTTAGTGAAGAAAAGTATGCTCATTCAAATGAAAACCCGACACCACTTTCGACAGAAAGGAAGCACCACTTGTCCTTGTGTAAAACCATATAAGGCGGCTTACAGGACAAAGTTGCCAACTCCGACACCCTCCAAATCGAAGTGATAGCAAAAAGGAAGGCAACCTTTCGCAAGCAAGGGGATTTCCTGAATGGCCTCAAAAGGAGGCCTCTGAAGAGCCAACAGCACCCAATTCAAAAGAGGTGACAAAGGGGGGTATACAGGAGGAACCACGTGATAAACCCCCTGAATGAAAGTACGGACCAAAGAATGCATAGCCAAGGGTCAGTGAAAGAAAATACAGCCAGAGCAGAGACTTGAACCTCAGTTGTACTCAATGCAAGCATCTCTGATCCACACCCCATTGGAGGAAAGCCAACTCCCGAGCCACAACGAAGGAACACGGATGGAACCCCAAGGCTTCACACCAACCAATATAGGCTCTCCACGTACGATGATAAATCTTCCAGTAGACTTACGGGCCTTCAACCGTCAGAATCACCAAGCCAGACAACTCCCTGTCCTTGGCTCTCAATAGCCCTGCCATCAAAGCCAGCAATGGTAAAGCAGGGTGTAAGACCGGCCCTTGAGACAGAAGGTCTTTTCAAAGAGGCAGCCTCCAGGGTGTATCCGCCACCAATATCACATCGGCGTACCATGGACAACGAGGCCAGTCCAGAGCAATGAGGATGACTAAGATCCCTTCGTCCTCTATCCTGCGTAGTAGACGAGCAATCCGTTAAAGGGGTGGGAAGAAAACTGATGAGAGTGTAGTGATCCCATGGCGCCACCAGCACATCTGCTGCGTCTGCCAGGGGATCCAACAATCATGCCACAAACCGTGGAACCTTCCAATTGAGGCGGGAAGCCAGAAGATCCATGTCCGGAGTCTCCCAGTGAATGCAGAGCTGATGTAACACTTCCGGATGTAGGGACCACTCACCCTGATCCACAGTCTGACAGCTGAGATAATCTGCTTGACAGTTTGACACCTGGAATGTGTACGACGGACAGAGCTATAATGAACCTCTCTCCTACCATTGCAAAATGCAAGATGCATCCAGTGTCACTGCTGCACTTCTCGTGCCCCCCTGATGATTGACATACACCACCGCAGTTGCCTTGTCTGACTGAATCCTGGTCAGCAGACCCGACAGACGGTCCGTCCAATGCGTCAGTGACAACCTGATCACCGGAAGCTCCAGGATTTTGATGGATAAGCGAGCTTACCCCGGAGTCCAACGACCCTGAGTACAGTCCGCTCCCAGGACGCCTCCCCAGCCTGACAGGCTGGCATCTGACGTGACCACAGTCCAGCAAACGGGGAGGAAAGACTTTCCATTCTGTAGAGCTGGGGACCTCATTCACCAAAGAACCAAAGAAGAGAGTCTCTCATCGACCGTTCCAGGTGAATCCAAAAGTCCAAGGAGGCAAAAGCCTTGTTCCATTTCAATAGGATTTCCATCTGTAGTGTTCTCATATGAAACTGGGCATACAGAACGGCTTCTAAAAGGTAGCCACCATCAAGCCTAAGACCTGCATGCAAAGACACAGACGGCATCTGCAAACCAGGAATTGCTGAACCGCAACTGGAGCTTCAACAATTTCCCCGACAGAAGGAACACCTTGGCCTGCTCCAAATCAAGAATCAGCCCCAGAAACTCCAGGCACCTTGACGGAGTCAACACAGACTTCCTGAGGTTCAGGATCCACCCGAAGTCCTGTAGAGAACACATGGTGATCTCCACACTGTCTAATAGCGAGGAGCGAGTCTCGGCACGCAACAGCAAATCACCCAGGTAGCTGATCACTGTGATCCCCCATTGTCTCAAGAAGGACAGGACCAGGGCTAGGACCTAAGTACCGAGGTGAGGAGGCCAGACCAAAAGGGCAACACTACGAACTGAAAAAGCACGCTCCTGATGGCAAAATCGTAGGAAGCACTGATGCCCCTCGCATATGAGGATTTGAAGGTAAGCGTCCTTGATGTCCAAGGAGGCCAGAAAATTTGCCTGGAGGAGGGAGGCCACCACTGAGCAAACAGATTCTATCTTAAACCTGCATGAAGACAACAAGGCCTTAAAAGGTCCAGGATTGGGCGAACCCTATCCACCTTGGGAACAGTGAACAAGTTGGAGTAGAAGCCATGAAAACGTTCCAAATAGGGTACAGTGATGACCACTCCACAGAGCTGCAGTTCCTGCACAGCCCTGTACAGGACTTGCAGGTGACCTGGCGAAAGCCACAGATTGGAGGGAAATCTGGGACTGTCCGATGGAAGGGAATCTAACTATCTTTTATCTTGATAGAATGATTTTGTGAATCTACTTGTGAATGAGAGAGGTCCACGGGCCTAGAAGCCTACAAAGACGCCTCCCCATTCTGGAAGTGGGTGGGGACAAACCTTCATGCTGAGGGAGACTTATCTGTGGGCTTGGAGGACTTCTTGGGTCAGATACTTGGTGCCTCCTGCAAGGGCCTTAAAGGGCCTGGAGCCCTTGGCTACGGAGTCGGAGGGGTGATTAAAGCATTTGTGCCATAAACGTTGGCCCCTTCTTCCAACAAGGTTCTTTCCCCTTCTTGGCCTGAGGGAGGAAGGTACTCTTGCCCCCAGGGTAGGGCCAAAAAAGACAGTCACCCAGAAAGGGCAGGTCCGTCAGAGCCTTTTTTGGAGGTCTAGTCTGCTGACAAACTTGAGCGAAAGAACCCACTGGAGCACAATGGCCAACTGGTCCACCAGCTCCACATACGTTTGGGGCAACTGACTGAAAGTCAACCCTTGTCATAGAGCCATGGCCCATTCCATCAGTGTCTGGGAGACTAAGGCAGTAGCCAACACTGGTCTAATCAATAAGTGCCACTACCAATGCCTTCTCCTGTTATATTTTTTTAAATATATTCTTCAGATTTTTTTTAACATATAAAAAAGTAATTTTAACATATATTTTTGCATATATTTGTAAATACATTCCAAAAATGTAGACTTGTATTTTAAAGACATACAGTATATTTGAAATATATATATATATATTGAATGTGGCCAGAATTGTAGTATTTCAAATATATGGGAATATATTTGGGAAGAATATTTTTAAAATATATTTCAAATATATTTTTCTTCCATGTGGGCAGGAGCTGGCAAGGTGCCCACATGTCCCGCCACAGCGTATGTGTTGAACCTTGCCCCCACAAGTCCGAGGGAATGCTGGCCATGAGCTATGGCCAGTATTCCCTCGGTCGGAGGACACAGCGGGAGGACATTGGGGGATCACAGGACAAGGTAAGGATCGGGGGATAGCAGCACAAGCACTACAGTGTAATCCCAAGTGTGGCTCGAGGTTACCGCTTTTGGTACTGTAAATTAACCTAGAGTCACACTTGGGATTACCGCCAGGGAGGTTAAGTCAATGAGGAAACAGCGGGGGGGAAGGCCGAGCCATGGCTCTACGCGTCTTATGGACCCATAAAGCGGAGCTCAGGGAGCAAGCATGAACCAGTGCCTCCATAGCAAGCAGCTTGCTGCTGGGGGCACTGGTCAAGGGGGAGGACCTGAGAAGTGGAGGATCGGGGTTGCTCTGTGCAAAACCACTGCACATAACAGTTAAGTATAATAGGTTTGTTATTTAAATAAACAGCTGAACCTTTAATAATATACAAAGGCTGATTAATGTAAAATCCACATAGGTTGCCAAGAATGATTGTGCATGATATTTTTAAATTTCTGCAGCATCTAAATAACAGTTAGACAAGCTATATAAAATCAATATATACAGAACATCTGAATGTCTAATTTACGTATATATTCATGAAAGGAATATATATTGTATATCAGCCTGGCTTTCTTCAAAAATACTTACACATGTTATAGAACACTGAATTGTAAATGACACTGCAAAATGTCAGGCTGACCCTAGTATTTAATAATAAAAGATTGTTTCCTCTGTGTACGGTACGTCTATCTGCAGTTTGTTTAGACTGAAAACTAATACATACCCACTGCATCAGCTCCAAGACTGTTAAGCATTCGACATTCAGCAATAGTCTCAAAGTTAGGTCCCCCAAGGCTACAGTATACCCCTTCTCGCATTTTCTCCACATAGCCCAGCTCCTGTCCAACTCCCAGAGCCAGCTTTCTCAAGTCCTTGTCATAAGCATCAGACATGGGAGGAAAACGAGGACCAAACCTTTTGGAGATATAAAAGTGAGACAATATATTAGGCAATTCGAACACTGAGCTATTTTAAACTAATTATATATTCCATTGTAACTGAGGAAAACACTATATAATACAGTAGGTATAAGAGAACACATTTTTGCATAGATTAGGCCAAGATGCCATGCCTATGAGCAGCTTCAGACAGTAATCCCCAATCACCCCAATACTGCTCAGGGAAATAACTGCTTAGAAAACCTTGTCTGTCCACAACTGTTTACCTGAAGTAAGCGAACATGGGTTTTGTTTGCATGTATCTTCCACTGCTATCTGTCTGGGTATAAACAAGAATGCATGGCTGAGCATTCACCTTTATATTAGTGATTAAATGCAGGAGTACTTAAGGGTGGTCAGTGTCTGCACGTTCAAGTGTCCATCACAGTTCTAAGCATACCTATTTAATCTTTTTAAATATGTATTAAGATTTTACAGATTCTAACTAACATTGATTGTACAGTATTTTTAAAACCATGTTGCTATACTGTATAAATAATTACAGTTTTGTTTGTGAAAGTCATATAGTGTTCATTAAAGTAACAGACCAAAACCAGTGCTTTAAATTGAACTTACCTTTCCTCATTTGGACCAATGAGTGGATTCTGTCCTGCAAATCCTGGCATATTAATGTGATCCATTATCACCATAATGTCCCCAATCTTATAGTCCTGATTCAAGCCTCCAGCAGCATTGGTGACAATAAGCGTTTCTACCCCCATCAGGCGGAAGACACGAACTGGAAAGGTCACCTGACATGATATATTAATTATGTTAATACAGCCTATAATTCCCATGTTTTAATATTCAGTAGGACATAAAGTACAAACTATTAAAGTTTAAATTCAATACCACGCACTAAAATTCTGATTTCTGATAATCACCAAATGTAATCACATTTCTGCAGCAACAATAACTGGCTACATGAAAGTCACACTACAATTTCCATACAAAAAACATATTTATTGTAGAAATCTGCTAAACAATGAAAGCAATCCAGATGGTCTGTTGTATCCCTAACATAAGTGTCACTAGGAGTGCAGGTTAAAGCTAGTTGGATTGATGTTGGTCCTCTACAACAATCTCTGTATTGAGGATGCTTCTGCAATAAAGAGCTTTTATATAATCATACAGATGTTGGACTTTTGCCTGGGTGTACTAGTTAATTTGGTGAAATATGTTGAAAAACAAAACAAAAAACTTTGATTCAAATTACCACATTAAGCCCTGGTTCACACTGATGCTGTGCGGAATTCACAGCGTTTTCATCAGAATCGCACCCAGTTCATGAGAACTGCTGCGGGTGTGTATGTTAACACCCCAAAAGCGGTCCGCAAAACGCAGGGCGATGTGCAGAATTGGATTGCATAGGTGTGAATAACCATGTGATCCAATTCTAGTGCAGACCAAAAAAAGGGTCCTGCACATTTTTGGTGTGGGTGCAGTGCGATCAGAGCCATACAAAATGTATGGCTCCAATCACACCGCACACAAATTGTGTGTGATTTGCACAGGAATGCGGTGTGGTTCCTGTGCGAATCACATGCGATATACCGCACCGCATATATGTGAACCCAGGCTAAAGCTTGTAATGAGCAACAAGTAATTGATTAATATATCAGTATTGATCTGGTCTATTAAATGTGAAGTCTGCCTGTTTTAGATTTAGGTCTTTTCCTCTCTGTTCATGGAGGATTTCTGTATATTGATATTCTTTGCTTTTCTTTTAAAGATTGGCAAGCAAAACAGTAAATGTGCAGGACCATAAAAGGTCAAATTAAGAAGCATGCCTCACTATTTGAATGAAGTTACAAGCTGCATTCTAAAAAGCAAAATGTTTACTTAAAAAGTTCTGACATTCTTTGTATTGTTTTGCATTAAAATAATTCTGCTACTGTTCACCAGGACATAACCATGATTTTATATAAAAAAATTCTCACCTTCCACAATGGGTAACCCTCGTAGAAGTGAAATCGTCCTTGCATGCACACACATGGTTTCCCATTCAAGTTCCCAAATATAAGGCGTCCAGCATGGCCAGGAACTGTAGTAGAAAAGAATGGAGAAAAGATTAGCCAGGAATAGTGGGGGAAAGTGAGAAAGCCTTAGCCAGGGACTGGAGAGCAGAGAAAACAAAACAAAAAAAGGATTAGCCAGGAACTGTTGTAAAGGAGAGTCAAGACTTATACCTGTAGTAGAGAAGAGTGGAGAAAGAACCAGCCATGGAGTGTAGTAGAGGAGAGTAGTGAAAGGATTAACCATGGACTGTAATAGAGGCAATTAGAAAATGTATTAGCCTTAGACTGTAGTGGAGGCAATTAGAGGATGGATTAACCATGGGCTGCAGTGGAGGCAATTAGAGGATGGAATAGTCATGGGCTGTAGTGGAGGCAATTAGAGGATAGATTAGCCAAGGATTGTAGTGGAGGCAATTAGAGAATGGATTAGCCTTGAACTGTAGTGGAGACCATTTGAGAGAAAGGATTAGCTAGGGCCTGGAGTACAGGAGAGTATAGAAAGGATTAACCAGGAACTGTAGTAGACAAGATTAGAAAAAGGATTAGTCATGGGCTGGAGAGCAGAGAAAGGATTCGTCAGGGACTACTGTAGAGTAGAGTAGAGAAAGGATTACTCAGGGATTGGAGATTAGAGAAAAGATTAGCCAAGGACTGGAGAGTACAGAAAGTATTAACCAAGAACTGCAGTAGAAGAGATTACAGAAAGGATTAATATTACAGCCCGTGTATATATTGACACGTTATCTTTACACGTGTTAGATATTTATCTTACTATAAAGCCATTTAAACAAAAGTATGTCTTATTGTAGAATCTCAGCCACCCCTTGGTCTTGTAATTGTGCTTAACTATATTCTTCAGAGTAGCAGATCCTTTTAGTACCTTGGTTAACATACCTGTGCTCTGTGGAAAGTTGGGAATTTCACTGTAGTGGAAAACCACCTGGTCCTCCTTCAACAGTTCACCAAAGCTCCAAGTCCAGAGCCACATACGATGGCCACTGTCGGACGGTGATCTGTGTTAGCCAAAAGCCATTCTGCGGTGTCTTTGTATTCTTCATAGGTGTATCTGAAAACACAAATCAAGATTACACAATTTGTGCAAATGCCTCTTTAAATGGTAGGATCACATTATCATAATCTTATGAACCAGTAAGTCTCCGCCTCCTGTAAGAGCTGTCAAGTACCCTATAGTTAACTTTTACCATATACTTGAAAACACACGTGTCTAGATTTAAATAATTTCTGGACTGAAACAGTAAGTAGATGTCCTGACTATTTCTGAGGATGTGGAAGGAGGGTCATTGTAAAACATCCATTTAATGTTCCGTATTTCAAGGAAACCAATGAAAGTGGACAGGTTCTCCATTTTACATTAACAGTAGGTCCCAAAAGCAAAAACCACAAGATACCAGATGCCGACTTTATTTGAAAAAGTGCTCTTATTTCGTTTGTTACCGGAGTCTGGTCTTCCCTCTCCAATGAGAGTGATATTACTGTCCACTGAGGTTGTCTCACTGGGCAAAGGAAGGACAAAGGAAGGACATAGCAAGGACCTGACAGGGCTTAGCAATGAAGTAAGGCCCCATTAATAATGCTGAAACTAAATTTGAGGGAAGCACAGAAGCAGCTTTATTAACTAATAGAGAAAGTAGCAGGCATTTTGTGGAGGCTGCATTTAGACAGGAATTTACTTTTAAAAGTTTGAAGTAGAATACATATTCACCCTAAAGCAGAATTCCAGACAAAAACAACAAGATAAATATGAATAGCTAACTAAAAGGATAAAATAAAAACAACTTTTGCATAAATATTCAGCTTCAAATCTAGAGATTTCCCCCTCAGTATTTTTTTTCTTCCACTAGGTGGCCTCTGTCTGATGGCCAACATTATTTATTTCACTCTCTCTGGCCAGGGCATCCTGTGAGTGGACAGTGAAAGGATAAGCAGCAGAGTAAGGAGTTGCTCTGTTTACTCCTACTGTCTCCATGCTTTCTGTTAGCACATGAACAGATTGGGTCCTTGTGCTGTTTCTTCCTCTCACATTCCAGCCCTGCTGTATAGGGACTGCAGGAGACTCATACCAAAGCACACATAGGTATTTACGCTGCTTGCCATAAAATATATATTTAATTATGTATTCATAATAACAAAGCTGCATTGATTTGTGTCTTTTCTATCTGCCTAGAGTTTAGCTTTAAATGTATGCAAGAAGCGTGAGAAAAAGACTAGGTTGCTTCTGTTTATAATAAAAAAGAAAAAAAAAAAAATCAATGTAGCATTTATAGTAATAGAAAAATCTGTCATTAAATGAATCTTACTTATGCAGTTCCTAAAAAGTTGAAACATTTTTTTTTGGATATCAATTTCACACACGCGAGAGAGCGAATTACGGAAAACTAAACAAAATAGGTTTATAAGTGTAAGAAAATACTTCTATAGTTATGTTCCTTATAAGACACTCGTAGTAGTAATAGTAGTAACTTCAGAGACTCAGACAACTATCCCACTGCTTCTGAGTTACTGTTCTAGAAAATTAAACAAACTGCATTATGAACTCGCTTCCCATACATAACTCTGGCTTAAGCTTTATCACGTTACCTCTATTCTTAGAAAAAGACGGAAATTAAGAGCTCAAGGATTCCAAGGCAACCAACACCGCAGGGAAACTTTATTCAAAAACACACCAACATATTTCCCTTCTACCCTTTAGGAACCAAATACTTTAATCGGCTTACTTTCACTATACTGATGTAACAGTACACTCTCCTTTAGATCTATCAACAGCTATGTAGTGAAAGGGTCTGCCTGATTAGATATAAACGGATTGGATAGTTTAGGTAGGTTGACAAGCTACGACCTGAAGATTGAAGGAGCCAGGAGGAAAATTGTCAGCTGAACAATGACAGCAGCCAATCAGCTGCAGTCACTGTTTGGGAATTCTGACAGCCATGGGTGACAGCTGTCAGAATACAACAGTCAGCAGGGGAGGTTCAACCATCTGCGCTATTTTAGCATGGATGGTGGAAACTGTTGGCCCACAGGCTAAGCAAAAGAAATCTATTTGTGTTTGGTCAGTTTCAGGCAAGCCATAGAGGATTCAATTATAATCGCTGGCAGTAATCACTTGCAAAAAGTCCCACAGGCTGGTTGTACTGAAGCTGAAAAATGAATTGACTTCAGCACAACCAACCAACCCATAGATGGATCCAGTAGCATCCTGCACTGGGTGACACTTACCACACAGCCACACAGGGTGACACCGGACCCACTCCACGAAAAGGTAAGCTGTAAAGCAAGCCAACGATCCAGGATGGATCGAATCTGTGAATCGGGGAGCATAATGGATCAGAGTCCGATCCATTATGCTCAATCCACAGATCAGATCCATTCTGCGGGGATCGTTGGAGAGGGTGTCACCAAGTGTTACCGCACCAGGTAGCACCATCCCTAGGGACACCCCTGGATGGATCAATTCTCAGGTGGTTTCTGCTGAACCGGTGGAGATCCAATCCATCTATGGTTGGTTGATTAGTCTGATTTCTGCATGTGAAGCTGATCCAAACATTTTTAAAGTAAATTCAGCTAGAGTAGTTTCATAGTTTCAAGAATCAAGACATCCAATAGAAAAATACATAAACAGAAAACCTCTGTATACAAAACCCTATACCCAAATTTTTTATTCAGAGGAAGACAAACCCCCCCTCCCCTATAAAGCATGGTCCAACTTGCTCCAGTGGGGGGGGGGGGGAAAAAAAAAAATTACTTCCGGATACCACGAAGGCAATATAAAAACAATCTAATAACATTAACTGATTGCACAGCTCAGCTCTGTTATTTTTTACTTGGATTTTATTTGACTTATTTACAGGTTATAAACCTGAGCTTCATGATACAGTCCAGCTTTCGCTTTCTCCTACATAGAGCCTTAGCCTGTTTCAATGACTTTCCTGCACACAGCTACTACTTTCAATACCAGCGTTTACTATAAACCAGCAGTGGTCAATGATCAGCCAGGAAAGAGTTTGGTAATTAAAAATAACATAAAATGGTACCTTTCTTTCTTCCCTCAGAATTTGGCCAGCTACATAAAGAATCTCTATCAGTACAAGTTTACTTTCAGATTCTAGGCCATAGAAAGCCGCTGTGTGTAGGCTGAATAACACTGTCTGCTTCTCTCTGAGAATCTGCCAGCTTACATTTTAATCAGATGTACGGTCCAGCCAAAACAATATAGTTCCAGGAACATAATGACCCTTTTCTGTGAGAAAGCTATGAGTGGAATTTATGCCCGGCAATGCCACACTGAATCCTTCCCGTTTAGCAGAAATGAAAAATTCCATTATTGTATTAGAAAAACTCTGACGTACAGCCAGATATAGAGTCTTTAGACTTACCTAGAAACTGGTTTGTTCAGGGGAGTGTGAATCTGGCCTGGCCACATCTAGACAGGTTAAGGCTGGCCATAGATGGATTCCCCCATCAACACAAATGAGGTAGATGGAGGAATCCTTCTTGCTGAGACTCTGGGGGTTCATTTACTAAAACTGGAGAGTGCAAAATCTGGCACAGCTCTGCATGGTAGCCAATCAGCTTTTAACTTCAGCTTGTTCAATTAAGCATTGAGAATAAAACCTGGAAGCTGATTGGTTTCTGTACAGAGCTGCACCAGATCTTGCACGCTCCAGTTTTACTATTATGATTATTATTATATAGGATTTATATAGCGCCAACAGTTTGCTCAGCGCTTTACAATATAACGGGAGACCATATAGCAACAATACAGTGCAATACAAGAGGGTTAGGAGGGCCCTGCTCCTTGGAGCTTACAATCTAAGAGAATTTTAGTAAATTAACCTCAGTGCATTCTGATAGCGGTGACTCTTTGCTGTCAGAATACACTGTTCAGTGGCAGCAGCCCATTGGCTGCAGCTGCTGACCAAAAAAAAAAAAAAATCTTCCAACAAGCCTGTCTGACAAAAGTCAATTTTTATGTCAACTTCCATCCAGCAGAGCAGCCACATATGAATCAAAATTCGGCTGGTCCCTGCTGAACTATGCAAATTTTGAGCCATCTATTGCCTTCTAAATATAACTAAAGATATTTTGTTTTGCATAGAGTAGAGAGATTAGAACACCTGTAAAGTTTTTATTGCTGTATGTGCCCCTATTATTGCTGTATGTGCCCCTCTCTCCCTTTATCTTGTTTACTGTTATCACTGAGAGAAAGCGAAGAAAAACCCCACATTTTGGGTTGTTACCCAAATCTTCCAATGGGAACACTAATTCAGGATTCCCCTTATTTTGGTGGGATTTCCTCTCACTGCCTGTTTTGAATATGGGACAGGAAGTGAAGGGAAATCTCCCTAATGGGACATGGATGGCAAAAAAAAAAACTGACAGGGTGATACCCCTCCCATACTACATTCCAAATGAAGAAAGAAAAAAAAACGTTTTCATTTCGTTCTATAAACATGACATCTTTAACCATTGAATAGTTTACTGTTTTTTATCTATGACGCACAATTGTCCGTGGCTAGGGCCTTGTGAAACCGAAGGAGGGTACAGTTTGACGGTAAACAATGAGTCAACATTTCCTGTAACTTCAAGAATGTCAGAACAGAAACACAGGTCTTAAAACCAGCAAACAGAAAGTCATTCTAGAATTACTGTTGTGAGTAGAGAACAGTATTTTTGGAACTGTGGGAAACGCCACTTCATGGTCAGCTGCTCGTGTATACACTTTGGGAAAGGCCACATAAACATGTTCTATTGATAATGACATACTGCAGCACATATCTAGGCAGATGTGCAGACCTGAATGCCTTTTAATAAAATGATTCTACTTTATATGACTCATAGCAGTTGACTTACTAAAACTGGAGAGTGCAAAATCTGGTGCAGCTTTACATGGTAGCCAATCAGCTTCTAAGTTCAGCTTGTTCAATGAAGCTTTGTCAATAAAACCTGAGAGCGGATTGGTTTCTATGCAGAGCTGCACCAAAATTAGTAAATCGACCCCATAGGTCCCAATCACAGGTGAAGATGATGACGTTAGAATGCATTACA